TAATTCTACCGTTTAGGGGTCAGTTTTAACATTTTTCTATTTTGAGTTGGTTTAAGGATATTGTCTTCATTTTTACAACTTTTAGACTTTATTCAAACTTGTCTACCGAATTATGATTTCGATTTGATTAGAATTCATTTTGACTCCTTAAATATATGTTTAAACAAAAACGCTACATTTGTTTTTCAATAAATGATATTTCAAATTTTCCATTATTTGGTGAATTTTCTGATGCCCGTTAGAGCGAAATTTGAGCAACACCCGTTCGTGTGTTGCGAACAAGAACCTTGTGTTATGAACAAGAACACTTTATTGTTATTCACATTTTCGTCCTGCGTCAATAACAGACCTACACCGCTAGATTCCTCGAGTTGTGTACATGTTCTTGAAGCTTAGGGTCCATCGGTTCAAGTTAAGGTTTGGCCACGACTGGTGTCGGCTGCACATGAGCAAGGGGGCAAGACTACGAGGCAACACTTGAAATCATTACAGAGTAGATTGGGCTAGTATGGAAAGCATGCCTAATCAGAGTTGCTTCCACAAGTCTAGCTTACAATGCAAAATGGAAACCAGCAGAAGAGCTTGAGTTCACTGGAGAATGTCAAGCACGATTATGCATGTTACCAAGTAGTGAGACCATGTTTAGTTGGAAAAAAAAAATGTCAAAACCCTGTGGACCTAAACAATTTCATACTTATATAACAGGAGCCATAGAGAAGATAAAAACTAAAGAAATTAGCTATCACGGATTCACGGTCACCCTTATCCATTCCATTTCGAAGTACTATACTGTTTCTGATCCCCTCGCCCAGCTACGAGCTTCATACACTATCCTTTCTTCCTTCCTTGGAGCCAAAAATGATTTAGAATCCAGGAGTTTCATCTCATATTGGGAAGAGTGGTACTGGATAATACTAAACCAAAAAAAAAAAAAAAACTAACACTTTAATCCTTACACCACCTAGTACTATACGTATCGAAGTTAAAACACTCCACCTAAAGCACCTACGTTCTGCTTGCAGCCAATACAACCACAACCTAACTTGCATGGGATTCAACAACCGAATCTATTGGTAGTCCTGAGCAAACGGCATCCTCCTATAATAAATAGTTAGCAGTACTGAACGAGTGAGTAATCAGTCCGGGGAAAGAAAAGGAGCGCCTTTGCTTTGAAAAAATATGGAACTCACTAGGCCTTCAGAACAAAGGCGGTTCTGTTCATACTTCGGACTGATCATTAATACAACACTATGATTGGAAAATCATGAAAAGATATAGGGTTATAAAGACAGAACAGTTCTTACTTTTCGTTGAAGTTTCAGATACTCGTTATCTTCTACATATAATGTTCTATAGTATTACTTGTGTACAATATGAGCAGGATATCCTATCCAAAATATAAGGCATAAGATGATCAGTCATTTGCATTCCTAGAGCGCTTCAGTTTCTGTAAGTTCCTTGCTTGGGTCAACACCTTTATCTTCGGAGGAAGAAGCTTCTTCAAAAGAAATAATGCCACTGAGCATCATATTGCCTATATCTGTCTCAGTAAGGCTGGCTGACTTGTCATTGTCAGTTTCTTTTAATTTTTCCTCTACTCTGTAATAAACCTTCAGAAAGCAGTACACAAATGGAAATTGAGTTTACGGGTTTGTTTCGGTACAAACAGACTACAAACATTTACCTTCACAAGAAAAAATAAATCGTGTTATGTCAACTGATCTAATATTCACATGTTCAAACTCGACGACTTTGACCTGGTGTTAGGCAGGGCAGATACAGTGCTAATTGAAAAGAGGACAATGTTGTAAAACTGACAAATTGCACTCTTGTTATGCTCCTTCCACACGGTTTTGCTTTTACGCATGACAAACATGTTCATACTCAGTCAAATACAAATAAATACCATTAGAACATGGTCTTGAAATTGCCAAATTTGATTTCTATGACACAGAATTAAAAATAAATAAAAAATGAAGCAGCATATTTGCCTCGGTGCTAGTTTTGGAAGTAACTGTTAAAAAGAACACTCAGAAGTTTGAGGTAAAATTCATCCGAGAATGACTTTAACAAAGAAGGTAAAATTGCTTCAACTTGATCCACTAAAATTGAATCGCACTTGTCAACAAGAGTTCATTTAAGTCTGCAAAACATCCCCTGACCATTTAAGTAATTATATTTTATCTTAGAATGTATCACCATTACTCGATGGCAAATATTTTCATTTTTAATCTTATCAATTTCAGTAGAATAAATATCCATCTTCACACCCTCATTTAAGCTACATTCATGTCATGGACATTTTATCCTTTAACGCCCATATAGTTTGTGCATATAGAAGGGTCACCGATATAGAATAAATGATGTTAGCAACAGTATACTAATCTTGATGATTATTGCCGCATAGACACTTCAAAGATCAAAATAAGTATTCTAATTTATACCAACGAATAAGTATGACCCCAAAAAATAATAATGCCTAAAAGTAAATGCAAAAGGGTCATAGTTGGAAGCATACCACACATGTACGAGCAGGAGAGAGTACTTTGAAGGAATTGGGACGGTTATTGAAATTTGTTTCGGGGACTCCAGGTAATCCTTCTGGGGTTGTGAAATGATCTGAATCATGAGCCACCTGCCATCACAAGTTATCTGATGTCAAGCCATCATGAAGACTTTAACAGCACATCATAGAAAAATTATTCTCCAGAATCAAACTAATCAATTTTCAACCAACCCATCAATCAGGAACTGTAGTACAATCGGCTCTTCAAAAGATTGTACATAGGCCAGCAATAGTTTTTTAGCCATGTCATACCAATCTTCTGGATATATCTTTTGGCTCTAGCGTTTCAAACTTTCTGAATATTCAGGATTTTCTTCCATTGTTTTTTTCTTTTTCACCCATCATCTTATTTCAAACGAATAAAAATCCTTGTAAAGTTCTTGTACTAAATATGGCTCAAGAGATTTTAAAATAATCAGTAGTGTTTTATCAGAATGCAAATGCACAGGAGCTATGTTTTCCAAGAACTCAGGCATCATTCCACTGTTCCACAAGTTCAAATAGGATAGGGTTAATGAAATGGGGAGGTGAGAAAGAATGAAATCATTAACAAAATAACTACAAATACAAAACCAACTTAGTTTTAGGACAAATTACACTTGAGTTCCCCAAATTGTACATGAAAGTAGCACTCAGCTCCCCAACCTAATTATTTTAGCATCTGGCTTCCAAACCGTGCAATTTTGTAGCACTTGGTCCCCACTAGACACAAACCTCTTCAGTTTGGCCATTAAAAAATCACTTGGAGCACATATGAAACTCCTTTTGCTTGGCCGAATAGGTAAACAAAAATATTTCAATAATAAAATAAGTAAAAATGGAGAGAAACGAAAAGGAGAGATTAAGGGAAAATAACAAAAGCCCCACATCACCCCTTACACCCATATGCAACCCCATCGCACAAACCTCAGCCTACTTTTCCCATATTCCTGGCATAACTTTCCCTTCGGTTATGCAGAGAGACCTATTGTAGAAGTAATTTACTTACCTCAAGTATGAAAATGTATAGGGAGCAAAAAAGGTTTTAATATAATCATTATTGGTCTAGAAAAAACCACATAGGGTGCTATGGTGAGTATCAGAGAGAGAAACATAATTATTATCATTCGTTAATGACAGTTTTAATTGATGAAAATAAGAGGGAATATATTATAAGTTATATTTAGAAGGACGTATTAAAATCTAACGGTTTTAGGTAAAGCACAATTAAAACGAAACAAATAGAATGTCGTTTTATTGTGTAGGAATAACATGTCCCCTTTAAGTAATATTTAGGTACTTAGATTCAATTATTAATGAGTAGTAGAACAGAAATAACATATTTTTATATGGTTGTCAATGCTTTGATTTGACTGGATCTTCTGCTATATGTGGAAATTGATCAAAGCAAGTCGTGGATAAAGATTTGCATAGCTTACTTCAAGTTTATCAAGTATAAGACTTAGTTTGTTGTCTTTTTTAGAAGCATGTTTAAATATGTCTAAGACATCAAAAGCACTGGTTGAAGTCAAAGAGCTTGAATAAAATTCCGAAAATCGTCGAAGATTACGATTATATTATTATAATTGTATTAGATATAGATAGATTGTTTTTACTATTAATTAATATTGTAATTGATCGCTTTCATATTTAGTTGTTATTTTAGTTATATTTAATTAGAGAACCTCTCACAAAGAGCGGTATCGAATCTTTTATTGAGTATATTTGACATGGTATCAGAGCCGTTATGATCCTAAACAAATTAACCCTTGAATTT